GGGAGGGAGGGAATAGCAACAACCAAAGTAAAAAAAACAGCAAAGGGGGGGGGGGGGGGGGGGGGAAGATTGATAACAGAAAAGTTACACTACTTCTAAACTATGGTACGCCTCCCAAACTACAACTAGTAGCCCCGCAACTTTTGGTTAGCTACTCCCCAACACTTTTAGGGCCCTAAAAATGCATGTCTAATTATTTCAAATCATGAACCTTAAACAATTTAACATCAATTTATTAAAAGTTTTTTTTTTTTTTCACTTTACGTTTTCTTGTTACCAAATTCTCTGTTTTAGCACGTCAAATTATTTGAATGCATAAAAACAACTTAATTTTATTTAATTTAGTCTTACAATAGCCTTATGAAATGTTTTTTGTTCAAATGAAGGCATAAAACATTAATTTATCTTTTAATTAATGAAAATTAAACAAACTTTATTTTTTGTCAAACAAACATTTACTATTAAAATTGAAACACGGAAGAAATATTGTGTGATTATTCCTTAATTTTTATTTTATTTTTTTAGTAGTAGTAGTAGTAGTAGTAGTAGTAGTAGTAGTAGTACTACTAACATTCTACTGCTCAATAGAAATATATTTCTGGCACAAACCAAACTTTTATTTTGATGGGTTGCTGTGAACACCTTTCAATTTCTGTGTGAATATGATATTACCCTAGTTTTACTCTAATGAAACGGTAAAATGCTTATGAAGTACTCTCAGAGCAGTTCTGGAGATATTGTTAATGCATTTATGTCCTCATTTAGTGAGACAGCAGACGCTGAGCATCACACACGCTTCAGTAAGTGTAGTGAACAAAACTGTGTGTCTGCACTACTCATTCACATAGAGACACGCAGAACATGCAGGATTAATATTTAAATAGTTTTTTTGCAGCTTAATATTTACAGATACTAGTCCATAATCGCGATTTGATTTAAGACCAACTTTTGATTAATTCATCCAACCTTTGACAAATTCCGTGACATTCCTCGTTATAGACGGTGCTGACGGTGATACCGGTGTTAAGCCACAACAGCGGTTATGTCACTTGCCCACCGCGGCACCGACCCCCACTGTCGTTTAGATTTTTTATAGTAATAAAAATAATTTAGTTCAGTAAAAGAACAGACACTACAATTAAAAACTGAACGTGGCTGCTCAATGCAGCGTGCCGAATGACAGTCGCATCACAGATCAGATTTCATTTCTCCAGTGAGGAGAGTGAGTCGAGCTGACTGACAAGAAGAGTGAGGTGAGGCGAGACAGACAAAACGATGGCGGATGATTTAGTTTCGAGATGCGAAAGCGCCTGTTTGGCAATATTTTGGATTTTGAAAAGCCTGCTGACTTTTGCCGTTTATCTAAGGTGATTTTGGAAGTTTTTTTAAACATTCATTTCTTATTTAATTGTTCCACATTGTTTGCTGATTTTTACTTTATTTAAACTGTGTCATTTATTATTTTATTTTTTTTACATCAAGGTATATGCTGTGCCTCCAAGCTTTATTCGTTTTGCTAAAAAATGTTCTACGTTTCTTATATATTTGGTTATATATATTATTCATGTTTACAAAACTGAAAATAGGCTATTTAAACTTTATGCAAGCTATTTGTTATTTTATATTAGGCATAGCCTGCCCTATAGCATGGTGTATTTTTATTTGTTTTGTTAATAAAAGTTCTATGTTTTATACATAGGCTAAAGTGAGTTTGACGTTGTATTTTGTTGTTGCATTCAAGCAATTGACGCCGAACTGCCGCTAATTCGAAAGTGAAAGTAAAATGCACACGGCGCTTTTAAGCTATTTAAAAGCGAAGGAAAGCGAGGAAATAGGGGAAATTCAAACGAACAATTGCTTTACGCCGAATTACCGCTATTTGAAAGTGAAAGCAAAATGCGCACACAGCTTTTACAAGCTATTTAAAAGTGAAGGAGAGGAGGAAAAGAGGGAACGCCCCCGCACCCACGGTGATACT